AACTTATGTGGGCGTGGCACATCCGGGTTGAATTACTAATTGTTTACATTTAGAGGCAGGGGCATAACTCGCATAGGATGCGTTTGTTCAAAAAGGGACTTTGCACACAATTACCTCATCCTTTTGGCCAGTTTGTGTTAACAGCTCAGTTGTTTCAGCCTTATAGTTCCAAAAAAGGAACAGGTTTTAACATTTGGATTTTTTCATTTTTCGATTTTGACCTTTGTTGACTTTTGTTGACCTATATTTTTTGACCTATATTATGTAGGAGCTTTACATTTCGAACATAATGTAACATTCTAAATATCAATTAACCTATGCAAAAAAAATTGAAGTGGGCATGGCACATCCGGGTTAAATTACTCATTATTGACATTTTTGGCCAGGGGCATAACTCGCAAAGTATACATTTGTTCAAAATGGAACTTTGCATACAATAACCTCTTATATTGAGCCACTTTGTCTTAAAAATTCGGTTGTTTCCGCTTCGAAGTTCAAAAAAAGGAAAAGGTTTTGGAAATTCAAAATTTTCAATTTTTGACCTTGACCTTTGTTGACCTTGACCTTTCTAACATCAAACATCATTGGCATTGGCTATCTATTTATACTTTTATATTTGCTGTCTTATGTCAACTTCCGGTTTTATAGTCGTGTGCAATTAGAAATTTTGATGACGGATATCTTTTGATCTTGACCTTTTTAGACCTTCTCCTTTACAAGATCAAAGGTCATTGACCTTGGCTATCTGCTGATTCTTTCATTTGTGAGGTCTGACGTCTACTTCCGGTATTAGAATCTTCTAAAAAATAAAAATTTCTCAACTTTAGACTTGTTCTTGCGCTTGATCTAATTATCGTCGATGGTTGATTTTTTCAGGGTCTTTAGCAAATTGCTACATTTGCAAAGTCCCACTCTGTGCCACGAGTGGCTCTAGTTTTTTTATTCTTTTTATTGTTTTTTTGTTTTTCTCATTGTTGTCCGAGTACCTAACCTAACTGTAATACACATTTCAGACTGCGGAATTACCTTTTAAATAAATTTTCAGACATCAGACTACAACCAGAAATGATGCAGCAGGAAACTTCTTTATTTCAAAAATCCGTCATGAAACGCTTATTTTTAGTTCAATTTGCCTCCAAATTTTGTGTGTATTCTTGAAAGAATTTCCATGCGACTGCAGTTTCAGAAAATCCTGATTCGAAAATTTTATCACTTACTTTTTGTACAGTACTGAATTTTGGTCAAAATTATAACTTCTTTAATTATTTGAAATTTGGCAAATTATGATAATACACAAACAATGGCTGAAAATCATAAAAATTTAATTTACTTCAATCCATCCAGCAGCTCTAAAAAGCATAACTTTGATGAATAGTTTCTGCAAATTTGAGCAAAAAAATATTTCAAACTGCAAAAAAAGCAGAATGTCCCTTTAAGGATTGAATTAGCTCTTGTCATTTTGTATGTCTTGTATGTCTTTGTGATTTCAATGTAGTTTTGAACTAAATTTGAAAATATTTACGATCTTTAGGCGACTTTTAGGAAAGGAGTTCAATAACTATATGTCTTAGTAAGTTAAGTTAAGAGTCTGACTGCCTTCTGCAAGACACTTTACTGGTGTGACTTGAATTCTCCAAACTGTTAACAATTACAACAAATTTTTGTTAATAAAATCTTAAAACATATTTGTTTCCATTGTAGGATATTACTACCTTTATTAACATGGGAAGTTATTGGCTGGTTAGAAACTAGTCAGAGTCTCAATGAAAGTTCTTCATTAGGAATGTATGGGTTTTTATATGGTACTTTTCCTACAGCCCCTTCAGTCTTCCTTTATGCTAGTCAATATAATGTTGCTCAGGATTTGGTAAGTATTGAAACAAGTGACAGATTGCTTCAAATACAGATACAATGTCCCTGTCAGACTAGTTCAACGAGTATTGACAGAGTTACAGCTCTTGATATACTGAAACTACTTCACATAACTCATGAAAGCTATAAGAATCTCTAGGACAGCTTGCAGTTATATCTACTCTAAAAGAAAATACTGCTTTAACTAATACAAATTTCAAGAAAAGGAAAATTTTGAATTTTTTTTGTAAGCCACTAGTCATAAGTATACATGTATTATTCATGTTCACACTATTTCATACTGGTATGATGTTTCATCCTCATCCCTAACCCTGAGCATGAAAAAACTTGTTGACAGTAAAAAGAATAGACACTGGTCATGAGACATTTAGACATGATGTCTGAATTAAATTAATTAGGTTTAAAAACACGGTTAAGGAAGTGTGACTTTATAAATATTTCTGATTGTGTGAAGAAAAAAAAAAGACAAAAAAATTATTAAATAATGGGTTTGGTTTTTTCTTCGGATCTTATAATAGACATGTTAAACCTCTTCACTTTGGATCTCTAAGGTCATCAAATTTATGAAATCTCTCAGTAATACAAGGACTTTTTTCCATCTTGAGATGCATGCATGTGAAAGAAACAATTGATGGACTTCATGCTTATCATCTGTATTTGCCTTAGATGCAAAATATAGACCCTTATTGCCTTATTGCCTCTCATCATCTTGAAAAGTAGGTTGTCTTACTTGATTTACTCCCCAGCCTGCACCTTTGTTCTTGTACTTATATTGCAAGTTGAAGACTTTATATATACTAACTATAAAGACTATGAGTTTCAAAATCTGACATTCAACTCTTTAAATTTGTTTCCATTTCAGATTGCCACCAGTATGGTGGCAGGTACTTTTGTATCGGCTCCTTTGATGTTTGTATCTGCTAAAATGATGACAGTTGTTGTTGAAAGTGAATTAGATTACAAATCTCTATTATTAGATACTTCATTTGATACAAGCATACTGAGTATTGTTTGTTGTGTAAGTATTAGATACATCATTTGATACAAGCATACTGAGTATTGTTTGTTGTGTTAGTATTAGATACATCATTTGATACAAGCATACTGAGTATTGTTTGTTGTGTTAGTATTAGATACATCATTTGATACAAGCATACTGAGTATTGTTTGTTGTGTTAGTATTAGATACATCATTTGATACAAGCATACTGAGTATTGTTTTTTGTGTAAGTATTAGATATATCATTTGATACAAGCATACTGAGTATTGTTTGTTGTGTTAGTATTAGATACATCTTTTGATACAAGCATACTGAGTATTGTTTGTTGTGTAAGTATTAGATACATCATTTGATACAAGCATACTGAGAATTGTTTGTTGTGTTAGTATTAGATACACCATTTGATACAAGCATACTGAGTATTGTTTGTTGTGTAAGTATTAGATACATCATTTGATACAAGCATACTGAGTATTGTTTGTCGTGTTAGTATTAGATACATCATTTGATACAAGCATACTGAGTATTGTTTGTTGTGTAAGTGTTAGATACATCATTTGATACAAGCGTACTGAGAATTGTTTGTTGTGTTAGTATTAGATACACCATTTGATACAAGCATACTGAGTATTGTTTGTTGTGTAAATATTAGAAACATTATTTGATACAAGCATACTGAGTATTGTTTTTTGTGTAAATATTAGAAACATTTGATACAAGCATACTGAGTATTGTTTGTTGTGTAAATATTAGAAACATTATTTGATACAAGCATACTGAGTATTGTTTGTTGTGTAAATATTAGAAACATTTGATACAAGCATACTGAGTATTGTTTGTTGTGTAAATATTAGAAACATTATTTGATACAAGCATACTGAGTATTGTTTGTTGTGTAAATATTAGAAACATTTGATACAAGCATACTGAGTATTGTTTGTTGTGTAAATATTAGAAACATTATTTGATACAAGCATACTGAGTATTGTTTGTTGTGTAAATATTAGAAACATTATTTGATACAAGCATACTGAGTATTGTTTGTTGTGTAAATATTAGAAACATTATTTGATACAAGCATACTGAGTATTGTTTGTTGTGTTAGTATTAGATACATTATTAGAAACATTATTTGATACAAGCATACTGAGTATTATTTGTTGTGTAAATATTAGAAACATTATTTGATACAAGCATACTGAGTATTGTTTGCTGTGTTAGTATTAGATACATTATTAGAAACATTATTTGATACAAGCATACTGAGTATTATTTGTTGTGTAAATATTAGAAACATTATTTGATACAAGCATACTGAGTATTGTTTGCTGTGTAAGTATTAGATACATTATTAGAAACATTATTTGATACAAGCATACTGAGTATTATTTGTTGTGTAAATATTAGAAACATTATTTGATACAAGCATACTGAGTATTGTTTGCTGTGTAAGTAATAGAAACATCATTTGAAAGTTTTTTAAGTATAGTAGAATCTACAACTGTCCTTGATATACATACTTTGGTAAGAGAATATATTTTTGGCCTGTAAAACTAATACATTAATTCTAGAAATATTTTGTTACAGTTATGGGTATTTGGCGTACTATTTGCTAGTGGTCGATGGAGAAGAATTCCTCATAGATTTTTATTCTGTCTCATTATAATGCAGGTATAAATCTATATTCCTTAATTATTACCACACATTTTGAAATTTGAATATTTTTTATCCACTATTTATTCAGTTGTTATCTAGTATTGAAATGGTTGTTTTTTTCAGTTGTTATATAGTATTGGTGTGGTTTATAGTTCAGTTGTTATTCAATATTGATATGGTTGTTGATGTTTCAATTGTCATCAGTAATGATATGGTTGTATATTTCAGTTGTTATCCAGTAATGAAATGATTGTATATATTTCAGTTGTTATCCAGTACCGGTTTTGTTATGGTTGTTTATAATATAAGTGTCTTCCCGTATGGTTGTGGTTTATATTTCAGTTGTTATTCAATATTGTTATGGTGACTAATATTCAGTCATTATCTGGTATTGATATGGATGTTTATATTTCAGTTGTTATCCAGTATTGGTATGGTTGTTTATATATACTGATCAGATTAAGAAACGTTGCATTTTTAGATTTTTTGTACAAAGTCATGCAAATCCAAATTGTTAGTTTTCTTTCAAATATGATTTCCAGTTTATGACATTCGATTTAAGAGTTGTGAACCTTGGGAACTGTCAGATGACCTTGGGAGCAAGAGGCAAATCGAAACGATTAATTACTGCATTTAATTGTAGTGTACAAACTATTGACAGACTTCGGATTTGTTACAACACCACCAACAGCACTGATGACCGCCCACATAGTGGTCGTTTCCGAGTCGAACACCAAGACAAGATTGCTATATCGTGCAGCAACATCGGCATGAAAGATTCACCACAGCAGCACAGACAGCTCGTCAGACGATTGGCCATCATCAGCATCCCATCATTGCTGATACCGTTTGAAATCAACTTGTCTCCTAGAACCTGTCTTGTCGTCGTCCATATAGGGGTGCTCACTCCCCATCATCGTCAGAAATGTATTGCATCGGCCAATATACCAAGAAGAACACATGTGGGATGACATCCAAAGAGGACTAAACCAAATCCAAGCGCTTCCAAGTAATTCAGCAGAAATGTGCAGCTTACCTAAGAGTCTGGGCGCAGATTCCAATGTCGTCTATAAATCGTTTGCGTCACTCCATGTACAGAAGATGCGGGGCCATTATCAATGCACATGGTGGACACCAGATACTGACTTTCAGTCATATGTAAAGATCACGTGATCAGAACCTCGTAGCAATAATTTGCAAAACACTCAAAAAATCCATTGTGCCTAATGTTTACCAACAATTATTGTTTTATTGAAATTTGAAAAACAATTCACTATTTTCTGATTTGTGAGGTTTCTTTATCTGTTCAGTATCAGTATATATCAGTTGTATTGGTATGGTTGTTTATTTTTCAGTTGTTGTCCAGTTTGCATGTGTCTCTTTATATTTCAGATGTTATCCTGTATTGTTGGATTGTATATTTCAGACTGAAATTTTCAGTTGTTGTCTGGTATTGATGTGGTTGCTTATATTTCAGTTGTTATCCAGTATTGGTATGGTTGTCTATAGTAAAAATCATACTTCACTAGAATGGCAGAACTATGTTCAGTTTATTTTGTTACTATTGGGAGTGTTTGGTGTAAGATGTTTTACTGGAGTTATTGCTGTTGTTTTATGTTTGTTACATATAAGAAGTTTGTGTTATGTATTAAGAGTACAAATTTGGTTGTTTATTTATGGCTTTGGGTAAGTTTGTTTTACCTAGTTTTACTTACCTTATTTGAAAATATTTGTATATACGCTCACATGAAATAGGGGGCATACATTGTCGTCACTGGTCCCTCCACAATTGCTCGTATACATTCTAGAAGGCACAATTTCTTGACTGATTTAGACGAAACTTGGTGTGAGTGTTTGTAATCACTCAAGGATGAACTCTATTGAAAATCAGAAAAATCAGAAAATATTTAGTAAGAGTTATTGCCCTTGTTCTTGAAATGCTCATAAACACTCTAGAATGCACAATTCTTGACAGATTTTGACAAAACTTGGTGTGAGTGTTTGTAATCACTCAAGGATGAACCCTATTGAAAATTGAAAATATTTAGTATGAGTTCTTGAAAGCATAATTCTTTCCAAATGTTGATGAAACTTTGTGTGAGTGTTTGTTATCACCCAAGGATAAACCGTATTAAAAATTAGAAAAATCGAAAAAAAATAAGTATGAAATATTGTCCTTGTTTTTGAAAAAGCTTTCAATTTCGGCTTGTCAATATTCTAGAAGGCACAATTCTTGAAGGATTTTGACTAAATTTTGTGAAATTGTTTATTATCACCCAAGGATGAACCCTATTGAAGATCAAAAACTGTTTTATTGACCTTGTTCCTGAAAAAGATTTAAAATTTTGGCTTGAACTTAATAATATTATTCAGTATCACCCTAAAGAGACTTCAAAAGAAGTGTATGACTGAAGGTTGAATATTTCATACTGGGACTGTTACTGTACTGCCAAATATTTTTTATTCAAAATCAAAGCTGCCAGTGGGCAAGCTATCTTGCAATATTTTTATGTCTCATATCATGAAAGAAGGTCTGACACATGATAGAAACATTGAGTTCCTTGTATCTATCTATGATGATTATTGATCTATGAATAAACTGCTCGAAGTATACATGCCGAACTAGTTTTAAAAATTGTTCCCCAAGCCTCAAACTCAAGGGATAGGGATTGAAATAGATGAATGTGTTAAAATATGAACCAAAATTGTGATTAAATACAGAAATTAGAACAATATTTAAATTGCATTTCATTTGAGAGTATATTTTTTCAGATTTCCATTGATTTTAACTGGATTGTTGTTTTTGATTGGTAGAAAAGATTTAAGTAATGAGATAGATCCCTCATTTCACTATGGTTTCCATCAGGTAGATAGATAGTCTATACATTATTAATTTTAATATAAACCAATTAACATAATATCTTTTGAAACGTTAAGTATGAGTAAAGGATGGTAGCCTAGAAATAAGGAACTTTTTTTGCATTCAATACTCAATCACATAACTGATTCTGAAAGGTTTTTTTTCCTTTTGCTTTCTTTTTATAATCTCTGTTTGTGGCTCATTTCAATGGTTTTATTCTGAAAGTGTTCTTAAACAGATTAGACATATAATGATATATTTTTGTTGAGTTTATAGAGATTCATTTAATGATTGAGGTTGATATAAGTAATTTATGTTATAGCCTTATGGTGATACTGTATTTTACTTCACAGTACATGTATGTAATATAGAGTGTTCAGCATTCATAGTCTGACCAGAATATATACCATATTATACAATGTTCTCTCCTAGATTTGTGCAATTTTCAGAATGATATCAGCGGTGTTCTTATCAGCCATTGAAAATAATTGTTTTAAAGTTTACAAATTTTATTCATAGAAAGAACCATTCTGTTATAACTGAAATTTAAGCTAAAAAACAAACATGATTTGTTTATGATGCATAGATCATTCTTTACGAAAGGAATCAAATGCCATCAATTTCTGTTAGAACACCCCTGATTATTCTTGTGGCTGATACAATGATATAACATAATAAGAAGCTTTTGCAGCTAAAGAAGCGCCTGAGACTTGATCAGCACCTTTATTTGTTTGTGTCTGTGTGTTTAAACCAGCATGGGAAAGGGATTTTGATATATATATATTTTTTAACTTTGCTTGCACATTTGAGGGATATCAAAAGGTCTTCAGTCGTAGACTGTATTTTAACAAGCCTAAAATCTAAAAGAATGCATATAGTCATGTGATATTATTAATGACAAACTTTTTGATATCCTTTCCATTAATTCTGTAAGGATTGTAAGATCCAGGCCTCTTCCATTGCTTACTTTATCAGCCTGGCTGTCACAAAATCACCAGGATTATTAATATAACTTCATATACCATCAATCGTAATAATATTTTACTTTACTAATATATCATTTTTAGACTAAACTATAGTCAGTCAAAGATATTTATGCACATGTATAATATATAATTGATAGACAAAAGCAGACCATTTCCGTTTAGGATTTGAATAATTCCTTGAAAAAAAATGCTTTTGTTTATTTTTATACGCCCACATTATAATGTGGTCATATATTGTCATTGCCCCTGTGCGTCCATCCGTCCACAATTGGCTTGTGAACGCAATAGAGACAACAGTTTTTATCTGATTTGAATGAAATTTGGTGTGAACATTTATATTCATGAGATTTTGGATAAGTTCGAATTTGGTTATCTTTTGATGAATGGTTTTTGAGTTATTGCCCTTGACTTATGAAACATGCATCAAAATTTGTTTGTGAACACAATAGAGAGTACAGTTTTCATCTGATTTAAATGAAATTTGGTATGATCATTCAATGATGAGATCTTAGTCAAGATTAAATTTGACAATTTTTCGATCAACAGAATTTGAGTTATTGCCCGTGACTTAGTAAAAACGCATCAAAATTTGTTAGCGTTAGAGGTGTGACAGTTTATGTCAGAATTTTATTAAATAATGTGTGTTTGTTTAAATCAACAATATCTTGCACACATTAGAGTTTTGGAATGATTTGACACAGATAGGTGACTGCCCTTGTTATACCGGTACTGAAAATTTATCAGGAAAGTGGGCGTATCTTGCTAGGCAACCACTTGTTATATCTATGTTGCATTATTATCTTGGAGTAGCTATATTTACTAACAATTCGCATGTGATGATAATATAACATAGGCGGCATGGTGGCATTATAAACTTGATTGATACACTTTAAGATTGTCTAATTAGAAATGTATTACTATATTATACTAATCACTATACTAATTATTGTATACAAAAATTTATTTTAAAGTATTAACATTGCACTTACTGACAAAAAGTAATTATTACACTTCAATATTACTAGAACTTACAATTACCCTTCCTATTTCATGTTGTCAAGTTTATTAATCTGTAATTAATGGATAAAAATTCACATAGTTGCATTGTGGGTTCATTTGATTCAATTAACAAAGAGGAAACCAGTTTCTAAGAACTTACAGCAAAATCCATCGACTATTTTTTTTACTAACTTTTTATTTACTTTACAGACTTTATTGTCGGTGGTTGTGTTGTCAGTTAATGTTGTCATAGTGATTATAGCATTGACTATTAAGCAACGAAATGACCGACTGACTGTTTCCTCAGCCCACTTGTCTTTATCCAAAGACAATGGTCATGAAGAAGAAGGGGGAAATAACTCTGGGGAAAAATCAAGTAAAGTGAAAGAGAACATGAAAACCAGCCCAGATTCTGACAAGAGAGCAGGTTCAGTACAGAAATCTTATCAGTCATGTAACAGCAGCACAAGTGTCCCAAAAGGTAATTGTTTTGTAAACCTTACAAGGTCATATTGAAAGACAAAAATGATTACATGAGTACATATCATTGGCTTTTCTGAAATCAGAATATCTATTCGTGAACAGAATTATCTATGGTTAAGAGTTTGGTTTCAGGTTCCAAAAAGAGATTTATCAAAAAATAAAGAGATTGATTTAAGTTAAATATTTGTTTTCAGTTCCAAGTATAGAAGATATTCTGCCATTTCCCAGTACTGGTAGTGAGTCAGACATAACTCTACCTGATATCCCAGAACATCCTTTGTTCGATACCCTAAATGAACGGACATGTTTACTACAGGATTGTGGTCCCACACAGCGAAGACAATGCATCAGTAAACTGAGAAAATACATGGTCAATTCAGCTGCATTATCTGATGATCCTCAGATTGAAGCCCCTGCTCTGTCTCATGAAGCTGAGTTAAATGAATATCAGTCTTCACAACATTTAATATTGATATTATTGTTACTGCTTTCAATGTTAGTGGTATGTATTAATTTGTAACTTTAATATGTCAACCTTCTTGACATTATTGGGTTACATGGATATTGTGATATTTATAACTAATATGTCACAGTATTATCACAATATTATCACTGTATTTCTTTGTTGTGATTTTTTTTGATACAAGATGAAAAATAGGTCTTAATCATAATATGTTAGTTAAGATGTGATCCTATCAAGGCAAAACAGTCATAGCATATCACCATAATCACGATATGCTTATTGCAATTTTGAATAAACCTTAATTACAAACGATATAAAACTGGTATATAGCCCAGCACTAACAACCAAACCTAGACCATCTTCAATTATGAAATGCTCTTAGTACTCTTTATTCACCAAAACATTAACCTTTGACCTTGTCAATGAACCACTATAGTCTTGATTATTTAAATTAAGTGATGATATAGGCTCATTGGGTGAAGGCTTAGACATTGAAGACTCCTTAAATAATAGATATGAGTATCTTTAGTGCTGGATGGTCTTCTAATTCGGTTTGCTTGATGTGTCTTTCAAATTTCACAAACTGCTTTTATTACAGGGTTTATTTTTATGTGTGTGGAAATTATTCAATACAAAAGCCACTGGTATTTATGTTGAAATAGAGTTTTTAGATGGTGTGTTTAATTATGGACAGGTATTTAACCTTTTTCATCTCTACTTTGCATGGCAACAGCCATTTTGAAGAATCTGAACTCAACTCACTCACTAAAATTGAACAAATTTATATTTTACTAACTGATGTAATCCTCAACTAAATGTCTTATATCTTACTCATTTTATTTTAGGGTTTCTTGATATTTACTGTCTTTGGTTTTGATACAAAATTGATATTTTCTAGAATCATGAGAAGGTAAGTTATAGTTCTATCCTAGTAACTGCAATAGTAATAGTTTACCAATACTAGCTTTGTATTCATTTTTATACGCCCACATGGAAATGTGGACGTATATTGCCGTCGTCCCTGTCCGTCGATCCGTCAACATTTCTTGTGAACACAATAGAGATTACAGTTTTCAACTGAATATAATGAAATTTGGTGTGATCGTTTATATTGATGAGTTTATATTGGTCAAGTTCGAGTTTTTGAGTTATTGACTTAGGATTGATGCGATAATTTGATGTGTTTGGATTATTGATATTGATTTTTAAAGATTTGGTTGTATTTCTCAGCATAAATAACTGGCAGTTAATATATCAATGAATTCAAACTAATTTAATATGAGAAAATTCATATTTTAGTCACTATAGACTGTTTTATCATTTCTGACAGCTGCCAGTGGGTGTATGTTACCTTGCCTGGCAAGCTATCTTTTCATCTTGTATTGTTGGGCAAGGTATTCTCTGGGAATGGCTTATTTATTTTCATCAAACCAAGGAAAGTTGCAAGGTATTTTGATTCTTTGAGATATAGGTTCACAAAATCAAGTAATACAAATTTATACCAGTACTTCATACTTCACATAAGCATCAACACAAACAATTAATAAATAATTACTATAAAAGCAAAGTTAAGCGAACACCTTAAAAGATAAATTTGTAGAGCCAGTAGCATCAAATGTTCTGATCATTGAGAACTATCATAGAAAATTCATGAAACTTCAATGTTGAGTGTAAATTTTAGTAATCAATCAAGAATAATTAGTGTCTGAAAAAAAAATAACAGTGATGATATGGAACTTACCTTAAAACATGGAATTGTGAAGATTCTTTAAACTTTAAGATCTTATCTAACACAAAGTGAAAAGAAACTGCAAACTTTTAACTTGTTTTCAGATATGTTTCAAAATATAGCTGGATTAACATTCCTTATGTTAGGTAAATTTTAAACAAATCTGTTCAATTTTTGTCTCCTTGTTGTCATACTCCAACCCCATGTTATTTTTTTCTATAGTTCATGATTTGGATTTAGAATTACAATAGACCATTATTTTTTATTCCAAAGATTATAAATTGTAATTGTTGTTGTCATTGTATCATTTTGTTTTTCATATAAAAGAGTAATTATTAATATTTTGATTTTTAATTAAGATAGATATTAGAAAATAAATGATATAGATAAAAAAAATCTTTAATTAATTGTTGTCTTCTATAATAGCTTATTGTTTACCTTAATGTTATATATTGTTATTTTTCACAAAGACCTTACCATGTTTTTTTTATCCAACTCTGCACTTTGACCTTTGTTGACCTTGACAAACGATTTTTCACTCTAATCCCCTTATATTTCTGAAAGTCACACATCATTTGGTTTCAAGAGACTTTTGAAAGGGTATCAGTATTTGATTTTGAACATTATTGTTACATTAGGCTCATGATTATTAGACTAAGGATTCGTTTTCAAGAGCAATCTCGTTAATTTCTAAAAATTTATAATATTTTTTTTCTTACTTTTTGCAAATTTTGTCTGCAAGTTCAGTTTCAAACTTCATGATTTTAACATTTATTTTCACTGCATGTTGCATCTTATCTTGGTGTTTGTATTATTGTGTTTTGGGTTTCTTCTTTATTCATCATTAAGATTATTAACATTTTTTTTTCTGTGGTTTTTGCTTTTTTGATATTCAACTCAAATCAAGATTTATACCCAGTTGGAACCCTGTTACCTTAATCTTGCTTTTTGTGATGAAATAATTAACTGATAAATTTTTTATCTTTTTTTCAAAAAATATCTCATTTTTTATTTTGGTTGTGGTATTATTAGTTAAATTGAGTTAGTAGATATTAGTATAATCCTGTATATAGATATAAGTTTAGTTATCCAATATATACATATTAGTTTAGTAGATATTATTATAATCCTATCCATGTCTATATAGATATTAGTTAAATAGATATTATAATCTTTCATATCGATATATAGATATAAGTTTAGTTGTAGAAAATACCCCTTATAACCACACTAACTGGTGTATTTACAGCATGTCTAAATTTTGTCATGTCAAGTGGTATTTGTGTTGTGATCAACACTACATGGGGTGAGATTACTAAATTTACGCTCTGGTGGTGGATAACTCGAAGATGGACTTTAACCTTATTTAGTACAAGGTTTTGCTGTATTATTGGATGTATAACATTTTCAACAATGTCATCACAGCGAAGGTTGAAAACACGAAAATGCATGTTAGGTGTCAAAATATAGTACATACTCTATGTAATATATGTAATATAAATTATATTATTTGTTTGTTATTCAAAGCCCAGTTTCTGCATGAGTAACACTTTTACATAGATAATTGATGTCATATTATTGCACAAATATGTAATCACTCAAATCACCTCCATGTACTTTGTATAGTAATCTCTTTTAATAATTGAAATAAAAAAAATAAAAAATAGCATTAGATATATTGAAACGAAATGAATACTGTGATTGATCTAGCAACTGAATATTTTGAATGAAACAATATAAATATTTTCACTGTTAAAATAGTGCTCAATACAACAAATGTAGAGAGATATAGAAATAAAATTGGACAAGTTGAACTCTACACTTTTTTTTACACTTTGAGACAAGTGTGAAGGAGGTCAGTTGTCTAAAGATCACATAGTGTGAAACTCTGAATAACATAATGATTTTTAGGTTGTTTTAATATTTCTATTTTCATTTTGAGTGATATATTATCAGAATAATGGTATTATTTCTAAAAATGTTAGCAATATATATATATATATGAAAAAGGCTAATTATTTCTCATAATGATTATTCTATACTAAGTATAATGCTAGTGATATATTAATGAAATAAATGTTACATTTCAGATTGCGAAGATGTATTTATGGTGTTGAAATTGTACATTTACCTAAAAAATCAGATTTAGATGAAGAAACTGTTAATATTTGTCAACAATTTGAAGAATATCACAAAAAACAATGTAGTGAAGCTATTCTTAAAAATTTAAGGTATGTCTAATATTAATTCAGATCACTTCATGACTCTGCAAGGTTTGGGGCTTGCTAATTTTTATACGCCCACATGAAATGGGGGGCGTATGTTGTCGTCACCCTGTCCGTCCATCAGCCTACAATTGCTCATAAACACTCTACAAGGCACAATTCTTGATTGATTTCGATGATTGTTTGTAATCACCCAAGGATGAACCCTATTGAAAATTAGAAAGATCGAAAAATATTTAGTATGAGTTATTGCCCTTGTTCTTAAAACGTTCTAAACACTCTTGACAGATTTTGATGAAATTTGGTGGGAGTGTTAGTAATCACCAAAGGGTGAACCCTATTCAAATCAAAAAATAATTAGTATGAGTTATTGCGTTCTTGAAAACGCGTTCAATTTGTAGCACGTAAACACTCTAGAAGGCACAATTCTTGATGTATTTTGACGAAACTTGCTGTGAGAGTGTGTAATCACCTAAAGATAACCCTAATGAAAATCAGAAAAAATCGAGAAATATTGTTGCCCCTGTTCTTAAAAACATGTTCAAGTTTTAGCCTGTAAACACTCCACCAGGCCCAATTCTTAACAGATTATGATGAAACTTGTAACTGTAATGCCAAATATTTTTATTTAAAATCAAAGCTGCCATGTGCATATATTCCCTTGATCTTTAGATCTGAGATAGATCACAGCATTGGTGAGTTGTAAGGACTGTCCTTAAAATCTGCAATCCATGTCATTTTAGATCAAACAAAACCTGTCTTGATTTTAAAAGTAAAATTTTACTTACCCACAACTCTCTGATCTGTCTCATTTACAAAAAATTTCTTTTTGAATTTCAGATACATTAAAAATTGTCATAAACATCATTCATTATAATTCCAGGGTTATTTTGTACCATGGAAGTTAAGCCACATTTAATTCAATTCTGTCCATCTCATTGTTTGTGAAGCGTTAGATCTACACCTTTGAAATAGGACGATTAATAAATACAAATGGTCTTTATTTTCAGATATAGATTAAGGACATATAGAGATGTGTTTACTGGTACAGATCTATGTGACTGGTTGATTCAAGTTGGTCTGGCTCATACTCGACATGAGGCTTTAGAATATGGCCGTCATCTTATAATGGGGCGTATTTTAGCTCATGTAACTGGAGAACATTTCTTCCATGATCAACCGTATTTCTATAGGTTTATATCAACAGAAGATGACAATACTCAGTGCTAATGTTTGGAATGGTTGGTGCACGTCCATTCATTTGGTTGCTTTTCTGCAAATTGACCAATCAGAATTAAGGCTTCATATGACTGGATAATTTTGAAAAGTCAAATGGAGGTCTGGAATGTACTATTACTGTGTGAATGAGGTTTGTGCCAAGAAAAATTTAGCTGTATTTAGCATGTAAGGGGCTTTCATATACCCAAGTATATTGATATACACATAGATAAAAAGACATTTCACTGTGAATTGTGCTAAAGTGTTATAGAAATAATAAAACAGAGTAGGATCTAATACATTAATATATTCAGTGTTTATGCTTTAAATTAGTTTAATAGTCCCTTAATATCTAACTCCTCATTTAGGTAGGTTACAGTCAGCAGGTTTCAAATACAGACCTCATGGCATTGCCATTTTAATTGCTTACTTTCCACATTGTAAGCTATATTGTGATATACATGTTATTGTAACAAGATAATTTATTATGTCATTATTGTTGCTTTTAAATTAGACATTGTGTCTTTAAACCTAGTATAGTAAAAACTTTTATACCTACTTTCATTTTATAGAATATTTAATATAAATGGACAAGGTCATCTTAGTATTTGCTGATAGAGATAAATTTCGGCTCTCTGTAATGCTTAAATTCTGACAATTAAACAGATACATACACATTCACATTTTGAGTGGCATATTATATTGGGATTGCGATACAACATGCCACAATATGTGTATCATATAGTGAGGTTGTGTATCAATACATGTTTTAATCAAGTTCCATAAAAAGTAGGAAATGGTCGGCAAATGGAATCACAAAATTTTCTAAAAGACATAACTGTAATTGTTGGTAACTATTTATAAGACAGAGGATGATAGACTACTTTACCAAATACCATTATATCAATATATAAAGTTGTAGATTAATAAATATTTTAACTTTGAAGATAAGGCATTAAATTTTTAATTACACTCTATCACGATATGTATAGGTAGGTAGGTAGATGACAAGTTAATGTTCGCTTCCAGCGGATGCTGATATCGCAATATGTATCATATAGTGACCCTTTTATAGTGGCATGATTGGGGACACCCAGCACTAAAATATTTTCAATAACTGCTAGTGACTTACTACTTTTTGAAAGTCTGAAACTTTATAGTTGAATGATTATTTATTATGAATGATTATCAGAGAATGGATTTACAGTTTAAAAAGTAATATGGATGGCTGAAATTGAAAGAAAAGAGTCAATGAGACATGCTACAATATTTTGAGTCATGCAATAATTATTTAAAATTATCTATAGTTGATCTCACTTTTGTTTATCTATTCCAATGTTGCTAGTCCTAAGATTATATATTATTTATATTATTTATAGTTTGATAATAAATGTCAAGAGTAAATGTTTACATACAAACTTTTGTCAAACAAGCTAATATTCCTATTATAGAATTTGACAAAATACGATATATGTATTTGTTTGACAACATTCTTAAAACTATAAATGTGAATTTGAATTGGGTAAGGGTAAGAAATGGAAGACAAGATAATAATTAGGTAGTGTGAGTAATGATATATATCCTTCAAAATTTACAAATAACTTGCTCTACCTGATTTTTGTTGGTCTAATTATTTCTATTATGATTATATGTTTGTCTTGTAACATTATTTTTTCTTAAGCACCAACAAAAAAGAATGTGATTGCGTGGGCAGTGTATTATATCTGTTGGTCCAATATGACAGTATTTAATTACCTATTAGGTATTCTTAATTACATATATGTTCCATAAGGCCCAGAATGTTATTAGAAATGAAAAAATAAATCAAATAATTCTACATATCAAATATAAAGTCAACCAAAAATTGTTTATTGTTAAATGCATTTATGATGTACTTTTTGTAAAGAGTTCATTTATGTGAATTATATTTATTTCACTATTTCATTGTATTTTCACATGTTTCAATCTTCAGTATATCTGAGTTCATTCTAAATATAATATTCCACATTATGAAATACGCTGTATCTATGAAATAGAACTGTAAACTGTTTAGCGACAGTAAATAATTTCACAAGCAGACACCAAGAGAATTGTTTCAGTTTATTTCTTTTGAATGATTAAATATACTTTTTGATTGATATGGCTGTCTTGTCATACTTGCGTCTCACTTCGTCTATATTTTTGTTCCACTGATCTCTCCTTTCAACCATAATTTTTGTCCAACCGATTTTTTTTGGCCGTGTATTTGTCTCAGTAATCCTCTGTTTCAACCATATTGATGGCTTATGTTCTTCTGATTGGGCACGGAAGCTGCGGTGGCTCAGTGAGTTAGACACTTGCTCGCTAACCTGAAGGTCCAGGGGTTAATCCTGGCATAGGTCGAGATAATACCTTCGGATTTTCAACCCGGTTTCCCCCTGTCAGTGATGCAGGTAATGCTGATGCTGACATGGGAAAAGCGTCTAGTCATTCGGATGGTACAATAAACCGAGGCCCCGTGTGCTATGTTAAAGATCCCTCGACAGTTGGAAATCGAAAAAGAGCAGGCTAATGCCACTGTCCTGGCAAAATTTCCCTCATGGCACCCTGCATGGCGTTGCCCGTCTTCATTAGCCCACAAGGTCCAGAAAAAGAGGACGTAAAACTCCATTCATTTAATTTCATTTCTCATTTAGCTACAGTTCTCTGGTTTACCAATTTATATTTAGGAACGTAGGAACTCATGATGTGGTTATGAAATTACCTATTGCCTTTAAATTAAATTATAATTAGCCTAAGTCACATGTGTTATAAAATAGTTTTAATCTTTTAATGACTTGTTCAGTATATTACTTGTAAAATGAGTGTGAAGAAATCATACAAATAACGACCATATTTCTCCAATATTTACCTCATTCTTCATGGAATATCTCAAAAGATATTTTAATTCTGTAAAGTTTATCAACGAGAGGAGATATGAATATATTTTCATTTAGAATTTCAAGATGTTATCCTAAAAAAAAAGACTGAGTTATGCTATCGGGTTGTATTTCAACAAATTTTTCATTTGCCATGCCCACTTTTTAAAGACCTTAAATATTGCATAACTTTATATAAATATAAAAATATATTGACAACAATATAGTTCAGTCAATTTGACCGCTTTTTGCGTAGCCGCCGATTCAAAATAGTGATACTAACTCGCCCAAACAATCAAATATTCCTTAAAGTATCACTGCCACGGATACATGATATAAAATGAAAGTAGTTCTAAAATTAGTATAAGGCAAATAATCTAAATAAAATTGACATTTTCGGGCTCAAATTGCGAACAAAAAATGTCGAAAACTGCATATTTCAGAGTGGCTACCCTTTAATATGAATGTGCCAGGTTTTAACCTAGATGTTATGAACGCTCATTTAATTCCCTTTTGAAATATTAGGTGCCTATAAGTTATAACTCTCAATGTTGAAAATTTTGTACGATGGACCGAAATTTGAGCCGAAAATGTCTAATTTAGATTAGACCTTTTTGCCTAATAATATAAGATATTAAAAACAACTGATAGTGGATACAAAAAAAGGACAATTGGACTTACTAAGTACTATGTTGGATGTAGATCATTCATACTCTGAATGATATTATTCCGTGCGAATTAAACAATATATTATTGCCTCTGAAAATGAGAAAGAAAAGAAAAGTAGCCTTGATTACAATAATATAGTCTTATTTACATCTCCGATCTGGCAACTTAAGTGTCAAAACTAACACATGACTGCAAACAACAATTAATCTCCCTCCCCCACCCCGCTTTTAACACTAGTCTAGTATAATAGTAAGCCAATTAATAGCTCTCCTAACAAAACCAAACCAAACCAACGACTACCATCCGACTACCAATGATCAGAACGAGTTTGGAAGAATGAAGGAGACCGAGTAACTCACGCCACACTATCCAGGGCCGAGTTTCACCGCCATGTCATTCGACCCGACCAGATCTAACGAAGAATCAACAACCAAACCAACAACACAGAATCATCTAATTTGATACAATCCAACTACCAACTACTACGACTACCAACAACTACCTAGTTTGCGATATCAGCATCCGCTGGAAGCGAACGTTAACTTGTCATCTACGTACCTACCTAGCTCTCCTCAATATGTTAACCTGCTGTGCTATTATAACACTCAATGCACAAGAAATACCTCTTCACTGTTTTAAATGCAATAGTCTGCTGTTGTTGTTGATCTGGTGGGGCTAAATGCTATGGTCCACATAAATTCTTAATGAATTATGACACAAATGCACAGGCATCTGTTTCTATCAATAGTCGACTCTCTCTATAATAGATACTATTATAGATAGAGACGACATATATGATTCACAGGAAATTGTAATAATGCCCTAACAACTGTGGAATATGAATGAACTGTAACAATGTATAACTTTATGATGTATATTGAAATGTCAGTCAATATCAAAGGTTATTCAACTGGGCTATAACATCAATATACTACAGACACTTTTTAGGTTATTACCCCATACTTCAAAGATGTCCAAGAACCCTGCCATATCCTGCATTAATTATCATTAGCCAGAACAGATAAACTTTCCGATTTGACAACATTTTCCTCCTTAAAAGTCTTCATTTTATGGAAAAATATGGGGAGGAACACAAACAATTTTTATACATAGTTGCAAGGCTGTTAGTAATAAACCTAAATTTGGTTAAAATGGAGATTTTCACTAAAATTGGCCACAAAATCACATTTTTTTCAAATTTTTAGCAAATGTTGCATAAAATAGTAATTTAAACCTATTTCTGCCTATCCTGAAGATTTCATACAAAATCATTCACAACCTTTAGAAAAATGGCAAAAAAAAAACTTAGGCCTACGTGGTTTCAGACAGGACACTGAATGTTAAAACACCAAATTCAACTTTCTATAAATTTTTGAAGAAATCTCGTTGAAAACTTGACAATAAGTCACATGAAAGACTGGCCTAAAATGACCATAAAGACTAGGCCAAGTCAAAATGAAAGTAGACCACTATGGGATATCAACACCCAGTTGGACTAACTGCACTAATTCATTTGACATCTCTTCCCATGTTAAAACACAAAATTCAACCTTCTACAACTTTTTCCAGAAATCTCGTTGAAAGCTTGACCATTCCTTAAATGTCTAAAAATTTCAACCTATGATGACCATGAACCTTTTGAGCTAGTCAAATTGAAACTAGACTACTACATACTCATCCGCAAGAGATTGGCAATTCACAAAACAAATATTTTTAGAATTATCCTTCCGCCTTTATGTCTTTCATCATTTCACCAAATCATAAAATAATGCAATTTCAGACATCAAATTCCATATCTAGGCCCAAAATTACTCCTAAATAGACATGAAAAAAACCCAAATGTGAGTGAGAAAAAAGATTTCTAAAAATAACCTGGACTCGCCTGGACTACATTCGCCTGGACTAGCCTGGACTACAATCAACAATCATTTTATAAAATAAAAAATAAAAATTTATTTGCATGTAAGCCCTTTTCGTGCAGCAGTCCCTTGTAACAAGCAATTCCCTTTTTTCTCCCCTAATTGATTTTAATAAGGTTCTAAGTGTTTTTCCAAGTCCCTGGGTCCTAATGAGTGGGAAAAGTCCAAAACATTTCCAAATCGGTTTATTTCGCAAAGTTATGTATTGGACGTTTACCCTCCATATGGCCTATAAGATCAGAATATCGGCAACTTTTCCTGAACTAACTTTTTCCCTATGGGAGATTTCTTAGCTCTGTTTTTTTCTGAATGTCTAGATGGCGCATGTGGATATGTGTGCAAAATTCAGCTTTGTAGCCTTGTAACTTTTTAAAATAAAAATTTATTTGCATGTAAGCCCTTTTCGTGCAGCAGTCCCTTGTAACAAGAAATTCCCAGTTTTTCCCCTAATTGATTTCAATTAGGTTTTAAGTGTTTTCCAAGTCACTTGGTCCTAATGAGTAGGAAAAGTCCAAAACATGGGCCAAATCGGTTTATTTCGCAAAGTTATGTATTGGACGTTTACCCTCCATATGGCCTATAAGAGCAGAATATTGGCAACTTTTCCTGAGCTAACTTCTCCCTGTGAGAGATTTTTGAGCTCTTTTTTTTTTTTTCACCCGCATCGATTTGATCAATTAATTTAGATAAACCTTCTTTTACTGTTTTCTTTGTTTCATGGTTGAATTGTTTGACGGTTGCCAAGATATCTGCTATGCCTGAACCTTTTGCTACTTTTTTCCATTTCTAAATCAGATCTATGCTTTTCTCTGCTGCGACATTTTCTGTCTTCATTTTATTTACAGCTGAAGCTATATCACTTGCACATTCGCAACAGCATCCGCAGCTGAAAATTAATGGAAGTAAAAACAGGAATCCGCCCTCCTTGCCTTTTCTGTCGATTTCGTCAAAATTGATATCTTGTTGAATTTCATGATTATTTTAATTTGTTTATAATTGATTTTGAAATATGTATCTTTTTACCATTATAAGCAATTGTTTTCAGTTTGTCATTTTTAATATTCTAATATTTTCGCAACTAAGGTCTCTGGTTTCAATTTTAACGTAATAATTTTAAGCACTTATTCAATTATGTTCATCTTTCTATCCATTATTATTTATAATATGACGAGACTCTTCTTGTAATAAACAATACCCGACTGTCTTTTTAATATATACAGACAGCTGAACACCTGTTTATAACAAATCTTCTTTGTGGGCGAAGAGATCAAAGCAAAATATTGGAAAATTTAAAACAACATCGACATACTAAAGCTATGTACGTTTCCAAATAACTCGCTCAAAGTTTTATAATTCTATACAATTCGTCATAATCTTTAATATCTGGATCATTATTTTTAAAGGTTGGTTTGGATATTTTTCGTTATTCATCCTTACTTGAACTCTTTTTATTTTAGGTTCTCGAAAGTTGTCACCGGTTATTTTGAATAGGTTATTATTATTTGTTTGCGAATTAGAGTTTTGAAACCGAGTAGTAAATATCTTGCTGGTTTTGTAGTGTGTGTCACTTGTCATGTGTAATTCCTCACCTGTGATTGTTTTCGACCCAATTTGTTTCTTCTTAAAGATGCTTTGTCAATATCTGTTGTCAAACTATTAAGTAGTTTTGTTTCTATTTCAAGTGTTGGGGTTATTACTGGAACATATAATTGAATATTTGTTATTTCTAATTTAGCATTTGAATTTTTTTTTCTCCAAAAAATATTCTATGACTATTTATTGTTTTTTGAAGAGGAAATTTGAAAGGAAGACCAATGTTGACCTTTATATGTTCAAGTAAACCGAATAGTGGTTATAGAGGCCAATTAACATAATTTCCCCAACTGTTACAATGATTGTATAAAAGAACTCTTTTTTTATAAACTTTATTATTTTCAAATTTTGAGCATTGATCAAATTTCAAACCGTAGTTCTAACTCTTCCTTCGTTGGCATCGTTCTTGTAGATTAATTTGAAGTTTTCCATATCCCAAATCTAGAATCCGACCCGATGATGAGGTATAATCTTTTGGATAAAGTAGAAATTTCAATTATATTTGAACCGGCTTCTAAAACCATTCCGCTGAATAAAGAGGGGAAATATTGTCTTTTAGTGTAATATTCTGTTGTGGAATTCTTGTGGTTTGGAGTTCCGTCTTTGATTTTAATATCACAACGGAAAAAGGTGTCAAAAAGAAGTAGCCAATTGGATAGAGAATTGATTTCAAATGTAACCCTACCTCAGTCGCTTATCTGGGATTTGGAACCAACGGTTGGAGATAATGATGTAATCATTCACCTTCACCTTATTGAGTCAGAGGGTTCAAGGAGGTTAAATATCGATTCGAGTTTTATTTTAATTGTCATTTTTTAATACGTTTTATGTGTTTTTCCAACTCCTTAGGGTCTAAGTAATAGAAAAAGACCCAACACTTGGGCACAATTGGATTGTTTAGCAAAGTTAGCTGTTTTGGCAATTTCGGTCAATGTGGCCAATAGAGCGGAATATCGCCCACAATTTTTGCATTTTTATACGCCCACATGGAAATGTGGACGGATATTGCTGTCGCCTATGTCCGTCCGTCCGTCCGTCGGTCGGTCCGTTCACATTTCTTGTAGGCGCGGTATAGGCTACAGTTTTTTTTCGGTCTTGATGAAGTTAGTATGCATGTATATATTGATGAGATCTCGGACAAGTTTGAAATTGGTAATAATCGGAAGAACGGTTTCAGAGTTATTGCCCTTGATTTAGTAAATACGTGTCAAATTTGGCTTGGAGGCAGTTTCAGAGTTAAAAGCCCTTGTGTGTACAGTGATGAGACATTGTTCATCTTTTTGTCTTGACTTATGGATGATTTTAAGATTATTTGAAAATTTATTATTAAGCCACTAAAGATTTTATCATTTCTAACAGCTGGTAGTGGGCAGTATAGTCTCTTTGAACTGGAAATTTCCAATTTTTTCTGCAATCGTTTTTACTTTGGTTTTATGTGTTTTTTTTTTTTAGCTACTTGGGGTCTAAGCAGTCGGAAAAGACCCAATACTTGGGTACAATTTGGGTTGTTCAGCAAAGTTAGGTCTTTGGCATTTTCGGCCAATGTGGATAATAGAGCGGTATATTGCCCACATTTTCTCCCTTATTCCTAATCTATGGCAGATACTTGAGTTCTGCTTTTTCTCAAATGTCCAGATCCAGATAGCCAATGTGTATATGGCCCGCAAATTTCAGCTTTGTAAGTTCTTAAGATAATGTTTCTACATATGCGCACTTTCAGAGTGCAGTATAGTTCGTTTGAACTTTTATTGAAGTTTTATGTATTTTTCCAACTCCTTGGGGTCTCAGAAGTCGGAATAAAAAACAATACTTGGTTACAATTGGGGTGTTTATCAAAGTTAAGTGTTCGACATTTTCGACCAATGTGGCCTATAGAATTTAAAATCGTCCACATGTCTATAATAAGCTGATTTGAATACAAATGTTTTATTCATGTTTAAATTAGATTAATGTATAGATTCATAGACTTATGAATGATTTCAAATAACAATCCTTTCCACTCCAAGCCAAGGTCCATAACTCCCGCAGCCACCTCTTGCCAGCATACATTTTAAATATCAGATGCGGTGTTGCCAGATTATATTATCATAAAGGATAATACCATATCCCCTTCCTTATAAGAAAAAAAGTCTAACGCTATAAAAAAAGAAAAAAAAAAAAAACACTTGTAAAATTAATTTAGTTTACAAAGTCATCATTAAAATATCTTGAATTTCGTCTACGGTTACGAGGTTCAGGTGGTGCAATATTACCATCATCTTGTTGTTGGTATTCCAATAATGGGTCTCCAGAATCGTCATCATTCAATCCGTGGTTGGCATGAGTCTCACATAACTCATGCCAACGTTTGATAACCTCTTGCTCTGTAAGTGGTTGTGATTGTGGAACAACTTCTTCATCGATGACGCATTTCTTTATATCATCTGGGTGTCGGGTGAACATTCTACCATCTTTCTGTCTTTCAAGCAGGATGAATGAGCCAGTGTCATCAACATGTGTGACTTTGCATGAGTCAGGTAGAAAGGTTGGATGAAACTTAGATGTTTTGTTGTAGTTTCGTAATAATGCTCGATACCCAATTTTAAATAAACTTTGGTAGCGATATTTAGAGTCATTGATTTTCTCGGCTCGCCTATGCTTGATGTTTAGCTTCCTTGACCTGAGAATCAGAAACTGCCATGCGAGGAAACACAGATTGATGACCATCGCGAAATAACATAGACGATGGTGCTATTCCAGTAGCTGGATGAGGGGTATCACGATAGTTAGAAAGTAGTTCTGATTGATTGTTATAGTTACTAAGTTTCATGGTTTTTCCAAGGGGTTTCATAAATGTTTCAACAGGATTTGCAGCTGGGTGTAGTGGTGGAATCTTTTGAAGAGTAATGTTCCTTTCCGTCGCAAAATCAGACATATCCCTGGAATGAAAAGGAGGTCCATTATCGGATAGTTGAAATTTTGGATTCCTAAAGGAATCGTATATGTCAGCCAATGCTGGTAACACCTTGCTTGACTTAGTCGATGATACAATCTTTGCTACTGGAAATCGTGACGCAATATCTTGAACGACCACGACATGATGTGATGATGGCATTGGACCAAATAAATTAACAGATACAGTTTCCCAGCATTTTGAGGGAACATGATGTGCTTTAATGGGTTCACTCGTTTTCTTGTCTGTAAATATCAAACAATCTTTAAAAGTACTAACGAAATTCTGGACTTTCTCCTTCATATCATGAAAGAAAAAATGAGACCGTAGACGACGCTCGATGCCACTCTGCCCAGGATGACTACCACGGTGAGCTAATTGTATGGCCAATTCTTGTAAAGATTCTGGAAGAATCATACGTTCACCCTTGAGAAGAATGTTGTTATTTGATATTGTGAGTTCATGTAGAATCGATTTAAATTTCAAAAGTTTCTCGCTTGCATCCTTTGGTAGCCATGTTTGTCCAGCACGCACTAGCTTTTGTAGCGCCTGTAATGTGACATCCAATGATGTATAGCAGTTGATATTTTGACCAGGGAAATAAAGTCAATGATAGGAGTAGCGTGAAGCGTGTACAGTAAATTATTTAAATCATTAACTTCGTGTTTTTCATCATGACTTGGAAGGACTTGGAAAGGTGTGGCGTTTCTAGACAAAAAGTCAGTTTGATTATCCTTGCCTTTCTGGTAAAGCACTCGGAATCGTATATCTTGGTGACGTAGTTTTATGCGTTCGGTGCGAATCGACTCTTGTCGATTTCCATTAAAGACAGGGCACAATGGCTTATGATCAGTAACAACATGTATGGTTGTGGGTGTTCCAACCAAATAATTTCTAAATCGACGGAGTCCAAAATCGAGACCAAGAGCCTCCAAATCTGAGGATATCGAGTTTCAGCAGAATTCTTAGTGCGTGATGCCCAAGCTGTCACCCTGAGCTAACATATCGCCCAGGCCGGTTATAAGTGCGTCGGTAAATACATATATTGGTTTGTTAAGATCAAAATAACGTAAAAGAACACCTTTGCGAAAAGCACTTAATATATTCCTAAAACACCTCTCGTGCTCACTTTTCCACACAAATCGAACACGGCCTTTCGTTAGTTCACGCAAAGCCGATCGACAGGCAAAATTAGAAATGAAGTCAGAGTTTGATTGCATCATACATAAAAAACTAACTAACTGCTCTTTGTTTGTGGGTGCTTTCAAATGTTCCAACGCGGACACTTTAGAAGGGTCTGGTCGCACGCCATCGGCACCAATTATCATACCCCAGAAGTCGATTTCCTTTTTTCCAAACGTACACTTGGACGGATTCAAAGTTAGACCTGACCTTGAGATGGCCTGCATAACAAGTTCAAGAGCCCCGTCATGCTCCTTGCGATTTTTAGCCGCAACAATAAGATCGTCGTGAATAAGATGAGCTTGAGGAATGTGGGCAAATATAGGCTTTAGGCTACATTTAGTTCACCTTGTGCTGGTTTTATTCCCATGATAAGGCGTTTGTAACGATACAGTTTGTCGTTAGCATGGAATACAGTTAGAAAACGTGAATCAGGATGGAGTTCCAATTGCCAAAACGCGGATTTATAGTCCATTTTGGAGAAAATGGTCGAGCCTGATAACTGGGCTTTGATATCTTCTTGTCTTTGTATAGGTAGGTTTGTAGACTGAATAGCTTTATTGACGTTGCGTGCATCTAAAGTCACTCGAATTTCACCAGATGGTTTTGGTGTAATTACAGCACAAGAAATCCACGGGGCAGGTTGGTTTGAGGGATGTTCTTCTATAACATCTTTGATCATTTCATCGATAGCACAGTGAACACGTTCTTTTAGGTGATAGGCTACAGGTCCTGGCGGTACATTTACAGGTTTGACGTTCAACATCAAAATGCAGCTTTACCTGGTGGTGTCGTAATTTTCCCAACCCAGTGAAATTTTCTGGATAGTGGGTAAGGATCTTTTGTAATGAAATTTTTAAGACGTCATCAGCTGTTTTATCTATGCTATGTATAGGAAAAAATATTTCTGCTTTTGGACTGAAATTGATGATTCCAAGTTGTAAAGCTTTGTCGCCAGATAAAATTGGTTCACAGAAACCAAAAATAACGTGTCACTCAACAGGTACAGAAATAGATCCAAAAGTGACGGAACAAATAGCAGTTCCATGCACAGAGATAGGGTTACTCATATAAGGTTTTATGCGTACTTAGGATACCAATTTATCGAGAAGATTCCATCGTTTAGCTTGTGATGTTCCACACACACTTACACATGCACCAGTGTCTGCCACAACATGGTCCAGTTGATTGTTTATGATAACCTGGACCCTAAAATTATTTTTGATAGATGAAAGTAATTTGGGTTGAACTTTATTTGTTTGTACTCTAAATAAATTGATACTGAAAATATCCTCTGCTTGTTCATTATTTTGCTCCGATATATCAATGGACTTCAAAGGTTTGCCACTTCTACAGACAGAAGAAAAATGTCCAATTTTTGAACATTTCTTGCATGTTACGAGCTGAACATCTAGATCGATGTTGATCGATAGAGGTCGAAAAGTTGTTTCCACAATAAAAGCAGCTTAGAACTCGTTGGTTTGAAGTGGGCTTTCTAGCTTTTTCGGACTGCTTCGATTTCAGAAGTGAATTGTAAGAATATTGACCAACTCTATTTAAAGTTTCACCAGCAATTTCGATACCACCTCTAGCAGCACTCTCCATTGCCATCCCTTTTTGGCATAAATCTGTTAGATTCCAATCTCTAAGAAGAGCTTCTTCACTGATATTGTTGTTGGATGTTCCAATAATTATCTGATCTCTGATGGCTGTAGACTCAGCTGTACATGTAGGACTGTCACATTTAAAAGCACAATGTTTAGCTTCTCTCTTAACTTTGTTACAAAAGCCTGGGAATGTTTCATCAGGTTCTAGTGAAATATCTCTAAAATGGAAATTTTGGACAGTCTCATTATCAGATCCTTTATACAATCGGCGCATTTTGGTTAGAAAGTCGTCCCAGCCGATATCTTTACGGGTCTGTTGGTCAGGTTCAGCCAATCAGCGTAGAATCTGCTGGAAGTAAACATACCGAGAAGCTTAGCCACACGATCTCGGCTACGCCATGCATTTCTAACTGTGTCATATTGGAGAATAGTAGGTTTGGGATCTTTATTTTCTGCGGTAGTGTTTTGTATCTTCCATCGTTCTAATGCAGCATCCAGGGAAACTTTTGGTGGATCCGGATATTGGCATCATAACGTAGTTCAAAGCATATGACAAATTCCGTGAAAGCCTTTAGAGTGTCTTTCGGGTGTTTTTCTGGATCGAAATAAGGCATTGAATTAAGTAGAGATTAGTTGTGATCTGCCATTTTGTTCAAAAAATGTAAAATAGAGTGAAGGTGGTCACAAAAAATGTTTGTTTACTTGAATGTTTTTCTTTGAATAAAAGAAAATTCACTGCTTGAGCCTTTAGTCCTCGTCGCCATTATAATAAGCTGATATGAATACAAATGTTTTATTCATGTTTAAATTAGATTAATGTATAGATTCATTGACTTATGAATGATTTCAAATAACAATCCTTTCCGCTCCAAGCGAAGGTCCATAACTCCCGCAGCCCCCTCTTGCCAGCATACATTTTAAATATCAGATGCAGTGTTGCCAGATTATATTGTCATAAAGGATAATACCATAATGTCCTACCCTTATTCCTAACCTATGGCAGATGTTTGAGTTATGTTTTTCCCCAGATAGTCAATATGGATATTGCACAATTTTATTAACTGTATTTATATTGTAGCGGCGGCTCCAGCCTCACCGACTGGGTATACAAATAGAGGGCAGGCCAACACAATGAGGGGACAACTGATGAGGCTGAATTCAGAATGCAGTGTCTCTGTTGGAGCGTGTGAGGGGGCTCTCCCAAGAAATGTTTTGAAAAATTGAATTGATTTTGCGCGTTCGCACACATTTTATGGCAAAAACATATAAAAAAAATTATGTTTTTAATTTTGCTAAAAATAAAGTGGGGGTGCAAAACAGCTTTCTTGGGGGACAAATTGCCCCCTCTGTACCCCTACTGGTGGCCAAAGATTGAAAAGGAGATCTGTGAGATGGAGATCAGTCAAAAAAAATCAAAAAAAATCTTATGTCTGCTGTTATTGTTTCAGTACAAGTTTTTTCAAAAATTATTTCCAGACGATAAAAGGAGAAGTAAAGAAAAATAAATTTAAATCAAATTTGTATTTCGTTTCATTTTGTCATATCTACAAAAGAAATTTGATGGAAATCTTGATTCCATGTAGAAAATGCAAAAAACAAAACCTAATTTATATACATAACATTGACAACTGATATAAATATATACATCATTACAATTCAACAATTAACCATATTCACAAAATCAGCACTTTAATATGAAAATAATTCCCAACTTGTACACAAATATATTACAATATAGTTACAAAATACATTTATTTATTTATAGGCTATATATGAAAATCCACAGGGAATACCTTGAATATCAATGATTGGAGATAACAATTTAGATATAAATGGATTCAAATTCCATTTAGTATATTATTTTACGGTTGGAAATAATTTCCTCCCTGTGAAATTAAGCTCTAACTTAGACATGTATTGACAGTTTACCTACAGTTTTAATTCTTCTTTCAAATAGTGATTAATATAAAAAAAAAAACAACACATTTCTAGATGATGGCCTCATTGTTTTCATTTAGTATCCTTCAAGTCAAAATAAATTTACTGACATTTCATTCCAAAGGCTATAAGTTTCTGAAATACTCAATAACAAACAATTCTTGCAGGACTTTATCTCTTCTAGTCCTTCTAGATAATATAATTCAACAGTTATCATATCAAAACAAATTCTAAAGATAGCTTGCCAGACAAGGTAACATACGCCCACTCGCAGCTGTCAGAAATGAAAAAAGTCTTTTCTCATAATATGGAAATTATAATAGTTTGAATTCAATGATATATATATTTACTGCCAGTTATTTATGCTGAGAAATTCCACCAAATTTTTAAAAATCAATATCAATAACTCAAATACAACGAATTATTGCATTAATATATATGATCACACCATATTTCATTGAAATCAATTGAAAACTGTAGTCTCTAATGTGTTCACAAACAAATTTTGACGTGTTTTTCCTAAGTCAAGGGCAATAACTCAAAGGCTGTTCATTGAAATATCATCAAATTCGAACTTTTCCAAGATCTCATCAATAATATAAAAGATCACACCAAATTTCATTAATCAGTTGAAAACTGTAGTCTCTATTGTGTTCACAAACAAATTTTCTCTATCATGCCTACAGGGCAATAACTCTGAAACCGTTCATCCGATTATTACCAATTTCAAACTTGACCGAGATCTCAACATTATATACATGTTTCATCAAGATCAGATAAAAACTGTAGTCTCTATCGTGCCTACAAGAAATGTGAACGGACGGACCTACGGCAATATACATCCACATTTCCATGTGGGCGTATTAAAATATTGCTCATTGTCTGCAATAACAATTATTCAATAACAACCGTGCAAATTCAAAATTAAAAAAAAAATTCCAATTCATTGAAAGATTATGATATTTATCATGCAAGACCTGATTCCAACTGCCACAGGTAACAGTAACTTAATTTTTAAATAAAAATATGAATTACATTATTTGAAGGATTAAAGGAAAACAAGTTTGTGTGAGTTTGACGTCAGAAATATAATATTCTTTTGGGCAGATGGAAAACTTTTAAAATGTATTTCATTTCATAAACCTTTCCAATTTATAAAAATACAAAATACAACTGTACTCTAGTTATCAGTTTATAATTAACATCCAGAAAGGAAATACTTTGAAATTCTCTCCAAAATTAGACCTTGATCATCCCTGTGCATCTGCTAAAAATTATTAGTGTTAATTATTCTCACTCATTCCCTCACATTCACAGCCATTTAGGTCACCAATATATTTTACATGGGTCTGAGAATTGCTCCAAACCCATTAATAATCATCTCTTACACTCCAGACATATTTTAGTAGGCTGATAATAATTACTTCATAGAGCAAATGAGTATAATAAAGCATTGTCTTTTTCTTAAACTTTAAAATTCAAATACAGATAAGCATAGCTACAGAAAGAAAAGTTAGTCAAACAAAACATTTTCTTCTGACAGATGAACAAAAAATTAATTTAAAACTCAAAATGTATTCTGCAGTAAATTTTTGTTCAAATATACAGTGTAGAGATAATGTATATAATAGTTCACCAATGTCAGGATAAATGGTGTTAATAACAAGCAATATGAAGTAACTAATATTAGCCTATAATAATGTCACCAAAGAGTAAGGCTAGAGCCTCTTACAATAATAAAAACATGGAAATAGCACTATTATTATAGATCAATTTTCTTGTCTAAAATAAAAACAGTCAAATTTTATATTTAGAAATGATTTCCCCTTAAATTGTTCCTTTGAAAGGACACAAAGACCTTTTTTGTGAAAAAAAAACAATCTTGGATGAACATTTTCTGCAAGTATTTCTAATTTGAGCAAGATATACAGATCTACTGGAAACTGTCACTGTTCACTCTATTAATCTGCCTGTTTTTATATAAAAGATATCAATGTACATCACAGACCAGCTATTCCTGAGAATAAACTTCAACAAATCAAGATGTTTTAACTGGTTCTTCACCTGAAATTAATCAAATCATAAGCTTACATCAAATAAATTGGTATATGAACTTTCACATAAATTTATATACCGTACTACAAATTCTCTATAATACACTGTAAGCACTGATTCAGAACCAGAATGTTTTGGTTGGTATTATTTACTAGGTAGATATACTGGTAAACATGGCTTATGTATTGTATCCTGATCGACAATGCAATATATACTGCTTTTAAAACATAAATTAATTACAACACTGACTGGAAATAAGGTTCAGATATGGTCTTTCACATCTACTAGTAACATTAACTTACTCATAGGTTTAAGGACAATAAATCGTAATATATCTGATAGTGATACTATTCCTGTTACACCATCATCTTCATCTACTATTACTAAACGATGAACCTACAAAAACAAATTATCAGTAACAATACTTGTCTGAAATAATGAACCTAAAGTAACAATTGTGTTCAGAGTAAACCAACTGTAGGGTATCAAAGGTGGTATTTGATAGGAGAGTTCTGAACAGGTTTCACCAATTGAGAAACTTTGGGACATTGCCCAACTGACAACTATTCAACAAATATCATTTTATGACAGCCTATTATCAAATGTAATACAAGAAACAAATGTGATTGTTTCAAATAGAAAAAGGCAATAAAGGAATGAAAATATGCAAATCAATGGACTTTCATTGAGACTAAAGCCATGTCCTACCTCTGCCTTCACAATTCTTTCTATAACTGTTTTTAAGGTTTCTGATGCTAAACATTTAGCCACACTTTCTGCCCCTTGCTGAAATTATAGAACAATGTCGATTTACTTTACAATATATGGAAATGGCAATTTAAATTTGTATTATTATACACAATCCCACACATCTTTGGTTTTTAAGGGTAAGAGCAGGAGACTGAATAGAGACAATATTTTGATACAAAGAATGTTATTATTTAGACAAAGTATCAAAGAATAACACAAAAAGAATAGGTCTATAGATGAATTTTTGAAAACATAGTTGATTTTAAATACCTGTTCACGATGCTGTAATGCCTGGGCTATGGTGATGTCCAAATTGTTATATGTCTTCTCTGCTGCTAAATTCTACAATCAAACATGCAAATATTCTTTAATGGAGGGGCCAATAATTCAGAAAATTTATATTGATTCCATATTGATGGCCAGATTCCTACTTCCTAAAAGTAAACTGCAATCATGGATTTTATCATGAAAATTATATAATATATTTTGATGTCACTTACATATAAAACCAGATTGGTAAAGTATTTTGTTGAAAATACAAGAAATTTGTCTTTCTATAGAAATCTTCATTAATAAAAATAAGAAATGTAAAGATAGAAACAACTTACAATAACATCAAATTTAGCATATATATCAACTACTCTACCATCTTTATCTACTACAGGCAGAGCTGAGATGCGATTCTCAACAAATATATTTAACGCTGTAATAATAGGTGTATCCTGCGATGCCTGTAATAAAGAAAATAAAATGGAGAATTATTTCCTTAAGACATTTTATGGCCAAGGCCAGAGGATTAACTGAGTTATATTTCAGAAAGCCAATTTATGGAATGAAAAAAAAAATGTCCATGGTTATTAAAGGTGATCAAACTTACAAGAAACTTTTCTTAAGAAAATTTCTTGGCGGAAAAAGATATTTGTAACAAACTTTCATACATGTCACAAAAAAGACAATGGAATCATGAAAACATTACTCACTGTAATAACTGATTCATGAGTTCCAATATTCAATTCTTTTAATGTACAACTCATAAAACTGGGTCTGGGTAAATCTTTCATCTGCAAAAAAAAACAATACATTTATATTACAGATTATGACAGATGTGTCATTTTTTTTTTACCAATCAAAGTTTAGGTTAAGAAATAGAATTTTTTAACTAAGCCAATCAGTTAGTGTTTTCAGATCACTATCAAAAATTGAGTCTTCAAATCCATGTGTGACCAGAATTATCCGCTATTGAATGTTAAATGATGACTTGTCAATTTAAGATTCTCTGTGATATATTGAAAAACATATATAGGAAAAGTTGAGTAAAATTCCTAGTGTGAAGTATTTTCAAAGGAATTACGCCATTTTCGTTCACTTCTAAAGACTATTTACATATTATATGCAAGATTAAAATCAAACCCTCATATTAGATTTTAACAGTGACCAACAGTATTTAAAATAGTTAATTAATAAAACTATTGATTGAGGGTGCTACAGCCCTCCAGCAACCTTCATATCCATCTCCAAGCTCTAGGTCATTGGCAATTTAGAAATACCCTATTTGCATCGACATGTTTAATAGTGTGAAATAATCCATCTCTATTTGGGTTTAGTTTTTAATTAATGTTTAGGTTTGGCCCTCAAAATATTTCTTAATTTTTAATAAACAGGTAAATGACTTACGTAGAGGTATAGGTATCTAAGAATACGTTTATGGGTTAAAATATAAATAGCATTTCCTGTTGCTTTTTCTATAACTGGTAATCTATGTACATGATTTTCGACCAAACTTTTGACAGCTTCATATAAACTAGCATCAGGATCAATACAAACAAACGGTTTCTGTCTTCCTTTAAATAACTCTACAATACAATTTCACATTGACGATCAATAACATTTAAAAATTGTTGGGACAAAATAGAGCCTGTTTCTAGCAGCATGACTCAATATATGACAAGTTCCCCCATCTTGTTAAATATAATTTGTGAAAGTAAAAAAATAACAATATAAAGGATGAAATGAATGAAACATTACTGCATACTTACAAAGATTCAGGCCACTGAAGAGGAAGCTGTCTGTCAAAAAGGCCATTACAGGTGATTATAGCTCAACCCAACAGACAAAAATTTCTGAATATCATTTAAACCTGTACTCACCTCGCCAATTGTCTATTTTATGTTCTTCTAATTCATCTATTTTAACTAGTGGTGATTTATAATACATTTTTAATATATTGATAAAATCTGTTATAGTCAACATTCCTAGAAAACAACATGTCATATGATACTTTTTGGGAGAGTTCAAGTCTGTGGCAGATTTTAGCTTAAATTCTAATTACACTGAATAAATTTACAGTACCATCGACAGTCAATGACCCTTTGAAGTATTCTTGAAATATTATCAATCCACAAAAAAAAATATAGAAGTTTGAACTAGCTGATGAAAGGATCCATGAGAACATAAAGTGTTTTCTTCCTTTTTTAAATGTGGATTATTCTTGGTACTTACCCACATAATCTTGTTTTTTCGAATCCCACAGAGGAGCTGCTCTGACTCCATTATAAACAAGAGCAAAAAATGCCTTTTTGACCTATAAGAGGAAAACAAATATCATTAGATACTTATAAAACAGACTGTAAAGTTTTGGGTCAAATTCAATCAAATTTTAGAAAATGAGAAAAACATGATAATTATCAGTAAATAATTTAGTTAGAAACTTTGATATTTTGAAGTATCATAAGATTTCCAATGTAACTGTATTTCCCAATAGCTGTAATTAAATCAATTAAGTGCAATAATTGAAAAAATGGAACAACAAAAAAATAACAAATAATTAGCACATAACAAAATGAGTACTTCTGTACTTAATGATTAGAATTTTCTGCCAATAATATCTCGAAACTATTTCAGAAAGTTTAATTGCCTTCGACTGCCCACAGAAATAAATTAATAATATTTACATCATATGATAAAAATAAAAATACATCAGATAATATTTCAGTTAAACAGCTATTGACCTACATATCCCGTGGCAATCATATTGTAAGTATATACAAATATATTATAAGTAAAAAGATAATGCACATCCTTCCCAAGTGACAAAAACAATTACCTGAATAGTGACATTGATAAAAAATACATTCAAGATCCATGAAAAATATAATATATCAACAATTTCATTTCAATCATTTTGTAACAAATTTACAGTCAGGACATGTATTCTTGAAACTGGATTTTACTTTTCTGTCCTATGATTAGACTAATCTATAAATGAAGACTAACAACACCATGAATAGTGCAATGAAAGAAAATTTGCCATATTTCTCAACAATAAGTATATCCAAAAAAACACAATAGGGAACTGAAGTTTTTATCATTGATTTTCAAGACAGTTAATTACATTATTCATTGAACAAGAATAAATCTATATAAACCTTGAAAGTGAAATGGAGTTTCACATCTTAGTTTTTCACAACACGGATTTAAACCTTGAAGAAAGAAGTTTATTTGTTATTATTTGTCCTGATAAAGACTAATATCTGGAAATATTACTAACTATAGATGTTCTATATAACACAAGTTCTATTCGTAACCATGACAATACATGATCATATTTCAATTTAAATCTATTCATTTCCCAAACAGGGTTATTTAAATCAGATCTGTCTAGTCTTGCATTGTGTTGAACAATAAAGGACAAATTTAGAAAAGTTGTTTTATCTTCAACTTTAAATCTAACCTTCAGTCTGGTGGGCAAGCGTAAAAGTATGTGGCTAGAATATTCAGGCAAAATCATTGCCAAAAATATTGGTCATGACTGATCTATGATTCATTGTGGTCCTCCATCTTAAACATAATTAATGTTCACATTTCAGAAGGCATAGACATAACTAAATTAATCATCACTTATTTCATTGGACTAATTTTGACTCACTTTAAAGACAAAATGTGTTATAAAAAAAATACAGGGTAACGTCCGATAACTACCTGCCCACTACATACCATGTTTTAAATGTTATCATAGTTAAAATAGTTGTACATGACAATAATATAGACTGAGGTAAACACTACATTCTCTACATATCTTTTAGTTGAACTATTTTACAACAATGATGTAACATCTAAATTACTTAAACAATATTTCTCACAGTGCCAGATGATTAAACATAATCCTAAATCTGCAGAAACAGGTATATTCTGTTTCTTACAGGAAACAGGAAAGCTTATCGAAAACTTAAGAAACCTAAAGAAATCTCTTTCTTGTGAGATTTACCTCTGAACTTTGATAAACAATGTTTTCTGGCAATGACCGTTTACATTTTTACATTGAATATCAAAATTTAGTGATGCAATTGTAATTTTTGGACTCTTTATCAAGCATTAATAATTCTTTTAGAATAAAAATATTTTGTTAACAAGCCAAGTGACCTGAGGTCTGACAATATTTAATTGGTGAGTTTGAAGTGAGTGCAACATATATTGAGTATTAAAGGAAACTATGTCAATATCCATAGCTATTTATAGTTATTCAAGGTCAATTTATCTCTATTATATTCTCCATTTTGTTTCATTTATACTTTACTAACACAATATATACATGTTTTCATTTAAAGCATTAGAATGATTGACATATAAAAGAAGGTAACATACGCCCACTACCAGCTGTCAGAATGATTACAAAATATTTAGTGGCTTAATAATGAATTTTCAAATAATCTTAATATCATCTATAAGTCAAGGCAAAAACCTGTTCATAAAATTAACATCAAATTCAAACATGAACAATGTTTCATCGGTGTACACACAAGAACAATAACTCTGAAACGGTTCATCCAATTATTACCAATTTCTAACTTGACCCAGATCTCATTAATATATACATGCATACCACGTTTCATCAAGATCAGATAAAAACTGTAGTCTCTATCGTGCCTACAAGCCAAATTTGATGCGTTTTTAGTAAGTCAAGGGCAACAACTCTGAAACCGTCCGTCCGATTATTACTCTTTTCAAACTTGACCGAGATCTCATCAATATATACATGCATACCAGGTTTTATCAAGATCAGATAAAAACTGCAGTCTCTATCGTGCTTACAAGCCAAATTTGACGCGTTTTAACAAGTCAAGGGCATTAACTCCGAAACCATTCATCCGATTATTACGAATTTCGAACTTGACTGAGATCTTATCAAGATGACAAGAGATAACAGAACTAAAGCACCTATTTTGACCCCAGAATCCTAGAAATCTATACAATAACAAGAGAATAACATCCCTATACTGAAATGTTACATTCCATGCCTCTAAGACTTAAGTTCATGACAAAAGAATCTAATGCCATCATCAATTCTGTCAAATAATCAAGCTATATCTCAGATGACAATGTTAAAGTATGAAATAAGTTATATGTATTTCTCTATGTATTTTACAAGATTATATAAGGTTGACTGAATGGGAACAATGTTTGGTTTATATTAAGAAATCAAATAAAAACAACTAGTAACCTACATTTTATAACAGATAAAATAATTCAGTTTCTAAATGGCTCTGTCAGGATTGAATCTTTTGACATTTTCTGGGTACTTATATATCATTTTATAGTTTTCTGTATACACAATTCTATACTAGGTTAATGTTTTTACCTATAAACTTAAGTTTGAATGACATGATATTATGCATGAGGTACATTTTGTGAGTCAAGGCCTCCATATTTTGATCAATTTCAATGGTTCACAATGAGCAACAAAAATTTTTCATTTTGACTAGACCATTTTGATTTCATTATGTAAACTTAATTATAACTGACAATACAAATAATTGAGGGACATTATTACTGGTCTTATTTTAAACCAACCATTTCAACTAAATATGCAACAAATAATTGACTGAAATATCAGCATCAAAGCACACAGAAATAATATCAATAAAATTGTACCATTGAAGTCATATTCACTTATTTTCAAATGTCAATCATACAAATTTGAGGTCACTGACCAATTTGAAGGGGCATCTGCTTTTTTTTTTGCTCAAATTTGTGAAAACTATTCACCAAAATTAAGAGAAATTTGTCCCTTTACGCATCTTAAAGTTTGAACTAAAAAATTTCATTTCTTGAATGCCAAAACAATTTTAAAATGCTTTTACAATATTTGGAAGCTGATAGAAAAGGACTGTAAAGCTAGGCATTCACTTGAGAGTTTTATAGCACGAGTTCACTCTCTGAGATGACAGAAACTCGCGAGTGGAAGGTAGTTTGCGAGCACTTGTTTGACAGTCGCAACCAACTCTCGAAAGAACTGCTGAGAGCGATTTCTCTCAAGTGGAAGGGGGTCTCCTATAAAATGTTAGGCATTCAAACCCAGCTGTCGATAGAACTGCGGCGAGTGATTTTCTGTCAAGTGGAAGGGGGTCTGCTACAAACTGTTGAATATAGATTTCTGTTTGAGAGTGCTCTCAAAGAACAGAACAGTCTTTTCTCGCAAGTAACTCGCGAAAACACCATAACTAGGCCAAACTAATAAACAATTAGTACTCTCTGTTTTTAATTAACAAATTCAGTTTGATCAAGTAGACAAATAGATATAAATAACATACTATAGAAATATTTTCAGGTATAATACAATGTTTTTTGATAATGAAAATTTTTCATACGGCCCTTTAAGAACAATTTTCGGAGGAAAGGCTTCAACTAAGGGTAAACAGTCCATACCAAAACACAAAGCATCATTCAAAAACAAAACCCTGACTGGACAAAGCACTCAAAAAAAGACCAATCAACTCTTAAGAAGAAAAAATATCAATAAAACAAATGAGGGTAGCTTCAGAAATTACCATTGAAAACATTGCATATTTTTGTATGACGTATCTTTCAGCTAGTTTTTTAATAGTTTTAGTAGTATTACACATACCATGGTACTTACATTTAACTGGGTATCAAAAATTACCAATTTGGCACTAGTTGGAATTAGGTCATAACATTTGTGAGCTCTCATAAATTTACCATAAACTTGATGGACATTTTCCTCTAAAAAAGTAAAATATATTAATAGTTATATAAAATAACTGACAAAGTAGGGTAAAACGTGCATTAATAATAAGGGTGAATTTGTCATAGTTGATTTTATCATTTACATCTTAATTTATCAAAAGTTTAAAATGAATCTTGTATGTTTGTCAGATGAGAACACTTCTTTTATTTCTACAATGTCAACCTACAGAAAGTGCAAACACATATGTGATGATAAAAGGTTGTTGAGAGGTTGTAAGAGAAACATGGAATTCTGGATGTTCTTCAATATGTACACAACATATCATAATAAGGACAAGATTGTAGAGTCAACAAAAGAGTGGGTAAAACATCCTGAATTGACAATGTAATTTATGTGACAAGGCTGTGTATCCTGGAGTATAGACATGCAGTGATACCTATTCACATCCAGATACAAATTCATCATAACTTCTAACAGTCTACTTTATTTTCAGGTAGTTTTGTGGTAATTTATCATTGATGTTATCTCAAATATAATAAACTGTTTTTGTTACTGTTGAAGTATCTAAGGTGTTATTAAATATCTTTCCATATCATGTTGGATATTAAGGAGAATCAGAATGCAGTGATGTATTAAAGTTGGTCTATACATTTGATACTGTCCATACATGTTTTAAATATTACAGAGCTAAGGATTGGCATCCGAAAGTGGGGGAATGTTCATTTTTGAATATTTATCACAAGTACTTGATGCCATGCATCTTAAAGTGACCATTGACCCTACATATGTTTAAAATATTGTGTTACATTGTAAGAATTTAAAAAGTTATCATTTACAGCCCCCAAAAATAGCATTTCCGAAAAACTTATGTCACTCTCTGTCCGGTTTTGGGGAGTTCTCATGGCTTCCATTAGCTCTTATAATCCAATCGTCTATTGGTTGCAGTAAGTTGGGTAAATCCACTGAAATATTTACCTAAATCTTCTATTTCCATAGGATCATTTTCTGAATCTTGACTAAGCTGAAAGATGGAGATTATTATATAATGTAATATTAGATAAAAACCTCAATAAATAACAACTAACTGGTTTACTGTAAACAGTTTCTATTTTCAGAACCCTTTCAGACAAGAATATCGAAATTTTAATAGCTCATTAGTATGGAGACAAAACATATTCCAGGGACAATGTATGTGTTTGAATTAGTTTTTTTTTATCTGTATACTTAAAATAGACTATTGAACTGAAATATGTATGTTAAAAAGTTCCAATAAGAATCAAATTAAGGAACCATGTTTTTTGAAGTCAAATTTGTAACATCCATCATTTTGATTTCTGCTCACTTCAAATTAAAATATCTCAAATTTTCAAAGAACAAACCACCTGGCTTTGTTTACAGAACTAGATCCATAGACCTTCGACTTCAAATGATCAGATAAATTTTCGCACATGTGTTCATCAATGGTGATTGACACAATATAATGTATTTTCATCAATTTCTAAATCGGACTACTTACTTTCATTAAGTTTGATTTATATATAATGGCATGTGTATGTTCATTACTAAATGATCTAGCCATGGTTGGTGGTGCTGATTTAGGTTCACTGGATGAGTGAAGGCGTGGAGAAACTGAAAAATATAAAAAGTAAGGTATATCAAATCAATCAATCTTAAATCAAATTAAATTTTACTTTAATGAATTTCAGAAAATATAAGATTTTAAAAAATCTTCAAAGAATTGGGAATCATCACATCATTTTTTATCTAGAAAGATGATAATACAGACACCAACTGAGAAATAATGTGTCATCAGTAAATTCGAAATACTAAATAATAGAATAATAAGAAATCATAACTTAAATCAAAAGGGCACATAGGTTAATAAGAATTTTGACCTGTAATAACCAAGATCACATTAATTAATATGTTGTCATGAATTATGCATGTTAATATAATGATGAGACCAATTAACCTAAGACAAGTTGTAACCTAGTGTTCGCATGATCACTTCACTATGAGAGAACTCAGGCAGCAAATTGCAAACCTTCTTTGAAATGTGTAATATGAATCAATTTAAACCCAGTATTGAATATGCAGTAGTGCATTAACGTCATCTACTATCTAATAGAAATCATATCTGACATAGTTTATTCTGAATGTCAGTCTGTAATCTAAGATGCTAAAAATAAATTAACAGACAGTACATACTGGAGAAATTGAGCAAATATAATAAGGATACAGTTGCACTTTGCTTTTTGCTGAATCAGCAAATCAATAGAGCACATTAGATACTGGAAAAAATCAATTATTGTTAAAAATAGCCCAAAAGGGATTGTAAAGAGGCTTTCTTAAATTTTTTATGTGTTTAAGGACACTGATAGCACAGATTTGCACCATTTCATTTTTCAAAAAAACGTTTGTGGTTTAACTATAACATTTTCTTACAAACATATAAAACCTTGAATGGTAAAGCTCCCAGTTGAAAAACAAACTTGATTGACATTTATAAACACTCTCGCTCTCTCAGATCTTCTTAAAACTTCCTCATTGTCTCAGACTATTCCTTAAAACAGTCAACACATACGTTTCATTACGCATATGGAACTTACTGCCAATTAAACCTATACTATCCAAAACTGTGGAATTCTTTATGAAAAATTTTAAACTTATTTATTTTGGAAGAATTATGGAAAAAGACTATTCTTCAAAACTTAGAAATTTGGATGTAATGTAATTGAAAATTCCTGCATTTCCACTAAAACTAACCGATTTAGAACACAAATAGAAGCCATAAATGGCACTGATTTTTTACTTTTCAATTCTTCGTAAAACCTTTTAGCTAAAGAAAGATTTTGGGCTTCAATTCCCACGGTAAGAGCAGCCAACAATATCATTATATATACTATATTCATGTACAATTAAATTGGGTAAAGTCTCAAAGGAGTCTGTTCCTTAATCCACTTCATATTGGAAAATTAAACAATGTCTGAAGAAAGATTCACATAAAGAAGCCCAAAACGTTCCTTTTACTCTTTGACAAATCTGTGCTGGATGTAGACTCAGTTGATTAGACACTTTCTTATTGTTCTAACAAGACCAACTGCTTGTACCAGAATAAGGACAGTTTTCAGAACAGTTGCCTGTTTAGAGTACACAGAATTTATCTGTTCCATATTTAGAACAGGATAATATTTGTAATGTAAAATGGTTTTAAAGTGCAAGATGTATGGTTACACCTCAAAAGGAGAAAGATTTTACAAGTACATCATAAATACATAATGTAAAGATTTCATGAACATGATATGTCTTTTTCATCAACATCACTATACGTTGGCCTTGAATCTAAATATATACCGCCAATCATTAAATTTTCCTCAATAAATGTCTTTTGTCAGCATAAATTCTCCTTAATCCGATCTTCACGACCTACACGACGACAACCATAGTGTCATCTAATCAATAAATTCTAGTATCAGTTATAATAGTAATCTCATGAGAAATGGGAATCAGATAAATATATAACATTTCTTTATCATATAAGTACACAGATATCCTATCTATCATACAATCAGGTTCTGTATAAGATATCAGACATTAAGCTGCATACAGTTTGGGCCAATTGAAATGAAAATTAAATTCAGAATGCTTCTATACAATATGAAAAAATCAAGAGTGAGAATACCTGAACCAACATTTGGACAAATAATTTTTCTGTCACATACATGAAAAAATAATCAATCAATGTTGGTTGTTGTGACTGCATTGACAGTTACAGCAATGAAAACAACAACTCTTGAGGGAAAGATTACACTGTCCTGAGAGACCATTAAGATCTGATTGATCTAGTAGAAAGTACTATTGACTAAGTAATATATAGGTTTATTATACCAGGTCTGATTATAACATTTGAATGTTTCAAATGGGACAAATATTAGCATGTAATTAACTGTCATTCTTTCACAATGTTTCCACTATCTATGGTTGTCTGGATGCAGCAGTTGACAATGTTTATGTTTTATTGTTGAAATTATATTCTTTCCCTCAATTTACCCAGCCCGTCAGTCATATCAATAATAAACTAGAGCCACTTGTGGCACAGAGTGGGACTTTGCAAATGTAGCAAAATGCAAAAGAACCTGAAAAAATCAACCTTCCACGATAATTAGATCAAGCGCAAGAACGGTCTAAAGTTGAGAAATTTTCATTTTTTAGAAGATTCTAATACCGAAAGTGGACGTCAGACCTCACAAATGAAAGTATCAGCAGATAGCAAAGGTCAATGACCTTTGATCTTGTAAAGGAGAAGGTCTAAAAAGGTCAAGATCAAGAGATATACGCCATCAAAATTTCAAATTGCTAACGACTATAAAACCGGAAGTTGACATAGGACGGCAAATATAAAAGTATAAATAGATAGCCAACGCCAATGACGTTTGATCCTACAAAGGTTAAGGTCAACAAAGGTCAAGGTCAAAAATTGAAAATTTTGAATTTCCAAAACCTGTTCCTTTTTTTAAACTATGCAGTGGAAACAACCGAATTTCTGAGACAAAGTGGCTCAATATATGAGGTAATTATGTGCAAAGTTCTATTTTGAACAAATGTATACTTTGCGAGTTATGCCCCTGGCCAAAAATGTCAATAACGAGTAATTTAACCCCGAAGTGCCACGCCCACCTCTATTTCTTTTGCATAGGTTAATTAATATTCCAAATGTTACGTTATGTTCCAAATTTCAAGTTCCTACATAATAGAGGTCAAAAAATATAGGTCAACAAAAGTCAACAAAGGTCAAAATCGAAAAATGAAAATATCCAAATGTAAAAAACGCGTTCCTTTTTTGGAACTATAAAGCTGAAACAACTGAGCTGTTAACACAAACTGGCCAAAAGAATGAGGTAATTGTGTGCAAAGTCCCTTTTTGAACAAATGCATTCTATGCGAGTTATGCCCCTGCCTCTAAATGTAAACAATTAGTAATTCAACCCGGATGTGCCACGCCCACATAAGTTTTTTGGACATAGGTAAATTCATATTCA